TTTTTTTTTTGAGGTAACAATCTCACTCTGTTGCCCCTAGCTAGAGTGCCATGGTGTCATAGCTCACAGCAACCTCAAACTCCTGGGCACAAGTGATCCTCTTTCCTCAGCCTCTGGACTATAGGCACCTGCTACAACACCTAGCTCATTTTTCTATTTTTAGTAGAGACAGGTCTCACTATTCCTCAGGCTAGTCTTGAACTCCTCTGAGCTCAAGTGATCCACCTCCCTCAGCCTCCCAGAGTGTTACAAAGGCATGAGCCAGCGAACCTGGCTAGCCTGTTCTTCCATGGGACAAATAGATAATTCTGAAAAATATAACAGATGGTTCTAAAAAATAATATAATAATTAGTTCTGTAATTTATTTTTCCCCCTTGATACAAATTATCTTTTCTTTATTTTGGAAAAATTTCTCACTCTAAGATCATGTCACTTAACGATCTTCCAAAGGGCTGGCATTCAAAGTATCTTTTTAGGACTTTCTTCAGCATTACTGCTACAACCAGGATTTACTATGTAACAATGTTTGAGATTTTATATTATTCATTTACTGCTCTGTATTTTTCTAGTTCTAAATGTGAATAAAAAATAATTTTCCAAGAAAAAAAGTCAATTTAGGAAACACAGAAAATCTCTTTGTCCCATGAGGCAACGTAGGATATGTTTGACAGGAAATTGGTCTAGTCACAGCTGAGGAGCAATCTCACCTCTGCACACTTATGGACAGTGTCAGGACCTACTCCACCATCGACCTCTATATCCAAAGATGGGAACTGGGTCCTCAACCAGTGAACCTAGACACACATGAGGATATAAGTAACTTAAAGTAGATATGTGGGGGAAAAAACAAACAAATAAACAGTCAAACAGCCAATGTTAGGCATTAAAACTCCAAATTTCTCACATAATAACTATGTCAATACAAAACATCATTGGGGAACACTGGATTCCGATTTGTAATGTCACTGCAGAGACTGTATGTGACAGAAACAAGACAAACCCTCAGCAGACAATGAAAACTTTCAAGAGATCCAAAGGTTACAGAGACAATGGTTTTACAGAAAATTCCAAGATAAAGACTGCTATCTTTTTTAATTTCCAAAACCTTAATCTACCAGAGCATTTATCATACTGTGTGAGACTGGTTTGCAGACACCCTTGTCTCCTCATCTTCACAAGAGGACACGTCTACCATATAAGCCTTTCAACATATGCACACTGAATGAATACTAACAGGACAAGCGTCACTGAAAAATCCAGTGCATTTTTTACCTTTGGCATCATATCTTCCATGAATTTCTGCCCTCCAAACCCAGGTTCCACTGTCATAACCAAGGCCATATCTATCTGATTAGCCCAGGGTGCCAAATACTCAACTGTAGTTCCTGGTTTGATGGCAAGGCCAACCTGCAACAGAAATAAACCTGCTACATCACACAAACAATTTTTTCCATATTACATTATTGTGGCATAATGGCATAAAGCAGACACCACAGAAGTATTTATTCTTACTAAATGGGGCATACAAATTATTCAGATTATCACCTCAGTCTTAAAAAAGATAGTTCACAAGGCTATTAAATGCAAATGTTTCCTAATGGCAGTAACTTTCAGAAAACATCAGTGAAATAAATAAATCCTATCTATCTGAAAAATAAATCATACTTAAACTCTGGCTTAGCCATTGAGAAACAGTTGTTTAGTCAGGTCTTCTTCAGCTGTCATTTCCTATTTCCAAACTCAGACAATGAATGGTATAAAACATTACCGTCATCACTGATTTCTTACCTTCATCCCATTCTCCCGAATGTCTTTTATTAAAGCCCCTGGGTTCTCAGTAGCCTCGAGATGAAAGGTGTACTGATTGGCTCCTGCTACAGCCATAGGCTTCACCCACTGTTCCGGCCTGGACACCATCATGTGCATGTCTACAAAGAAAGACACATGTGAATATTACTGGAAGGAAAATACCTGGCTCAG